CTGGGCGTTTTGCGGAGGCGCCTTGCGCTAGCGCCACCTATGGCCCGGAGGTGCGCACGGGCCTGCGCCTGCTCTTAAACTGGGTATTCATTAAATTCTGTCAAATTCCCTCACGGACACAAAATGGGAAGGAAGGGGACAGCAGAAGAAAGTCAGATTTCACCAATGTTACATTTACAGTGTGTTTTGTTAATCTGTGAAAAGACATGCACTTACTGTATCCCAAAAGGAAGCTGAGGTAGTAGCATATAGCAACATACAGGGAAGAAAAAAAATATTGTTGTATTTCCTTCCTTCCGTTGTAGATAAATCTGCTTGGTGGTTAACCATACTGCAGCATGGTCTGATTCACCTATATTTATTTACTTCACCCTGGGTTTAACTTTTATTCACTTATTTAGTAGATGCATAGCAGATAAAATGGCACCTCTTTGCTCAAGTTGTCATTATCATGATTTCCTATTACATTTTACTCTTTTTTCCAAATTCAAGATGTGTTCCTAAAGAAAATTAAGTAAATTTTTTTGGTTGAAATAGAAAACTTCATAGTATGACTTAGGAAAGGCTTTGATTTTTGTTAAAACTCTGCAAGAATAAAAAATGGGGGTGTTTGCTAGCTAAAAGTGTAGTGTCAAGAACAGCCCGTGTCCTTATTTTAAAATGAGTATGCCTTTACGTTTAAATTTCTCTGACTTGGCAGACTGAGAGTCACTTCCAAACCCCAAAAGTGCAGTGCATTGCATAAGGAAGAGAGGGGAATCTTGTCAGTCACAAAAAGCTTTATTTGTTTTTATTACAGGCAACCACCTGGAATAATTCTTTTTACAAACTCATCAAGCTCCATCTGAAAATGTCTTCTATTCTTCTTACAGAACTTACAGTTGTACTTAAGACTAAAAGAAACTTATGCTGTTGCCAAACTCTTTAAAATTTCCTTCAATTAATTTATCCCCCTTAAATTGGCCTCCTTCATCATTGTACACCATACTTTTAAATACAGAATTACTATCAGATTTAGCTTCCCTGATCTCACCTCATATATAGGCTTACAATTCACCTTTTTTTTTTCCTCTTTGTACTTGTTCTTTTGAATTTTTCTTCAAAAAATGATCAGAATTGTACAGTAATGCAGGTAAAAATTCCACCATGCTCGTGTAACAGTGTTAGTATTTCCCAGCGATGCTTTTCTTTATTCATACCAGAATAACATTCTTCTTCCTCACAACCGTATTGGGTGGTTAGCTCAATCATTCTAAGATCCAAATCACTCATTCCCAAATGGTGACTTCCCAGCTCGTAGTAAAAACATCTGTAACCACCAGAGTCACAGATATTTACTTGTCTGATTTTACTGCAACTACAGAACTAGAAACAAACTAACTACTAACTAGAACTAACGAAGAACTAGATCACTTCAATACCTTTGCTGATCTGGCCTTAAACACAGGCATCTCTTCATGAGTTTCAATCCACTCTTGGAAAATTGTGTTCCGAATCACAGAATGGCTGCAGGACTTCTGGAGGTCGTCTGGTCCAAATCCCTGCTCCAGCAGGACCACCCAGAGCTGGTTGCCCAGGAACGTGTCCGGAAGGCTTTTGAATATCTCCAAGGACGGAAACTCCGCCACCCCTCTGGGCAACCATTTCCAACCTGTCTCCTACCTTACCAGAGAGCCTCTGTAAGATATTATCTATATTTATAAAGAAAAGCATACACTTGAGAGCAGTAAAAAAAGCAGCGGTAGTTTCATGTTTACATTCTCTAAATTAAGCTATAGGTTTACTCTGCTGTTTCATGGACTGAACTGTAACATTAGGTGACAGCACCAGCCCTTTGCCATTGTCTTTCCTCAGACGAGAGAGTAACACTGCTGTTATCAATACCACTGAACCCATTATAATCAATTATGTCCATACAGAGTTTCTAGGACGTATAAAACAAGCAAAGACTTGTCTAGAATTGAATATAAAGTGGAAGAAGCATCTGTCTTCACCGTACCAGGTAAAAACTGCTGTTTGGCACGTGTGGTCCTTATATAGGGTATTTTAAATGCACAGTAAACCTCTTTAACAAAATAAATTTCACAGGTCAAGATATTGCTAAGGTTTTCAATGTTAACTAAGTAGTATTTGCAATATATCAGCAAGTGGTTAAATTAACGTAAGTTCTTTGAAAAGTATTATATTGTCTGTTTTAAGAAACAAAGAGTACAGTAACTACCAGCCTGAGAAAACATAAGGCATTTCATACTAGATTAATATTAGACATTTACATAAAATTGAAGATTAACTTAAGGATTCTCAGTATCATAAAATATCTGATTAAGGACAACATTACCATTTCTGTCAGACTAGTCAAAGAATTATGAAAAGTACAGACAAGGTAACTGCCTAATAAACCTTTTATATAAGCACACATCCAGAAAACATTTTGGTATCCCAATTATCCAGTGATGACATGTATCTTTTGTTTCTGTAATTCTGTGAGATACTTTTTGTTTTCTCTTGCAAGTATTGCAACAGAACCTGGGAGTAGGGAATGCAACTTTCAGCAGATGGGAGGTAGCATTAAGCCTCCAAATACATTGACAATTTTTAAATGAAAAGTTTTTACTATACAATATAATGTTCACTTCCTTCTCTCCCTTTAAATAATTCTTTCAGTTAGACAAGAGACTTTTTTTTAATTATTTTTTACAAGAAAATAAGTGGCACAGAATAACTGTTTAAACTGATGAACACTGGCCAAATCATAATTGATCTCATGATATTAAGAAGTTACTCAGGCATGAAAAAGTGCCTCCAAGACCTTCTTTAGCATAGCCTGTGCTAGAACTGAAACTCTCAGAAGAACCTGGAACAAACCAGGACCCCAAGTTTCACTCTCTGGACCAAAACGCTGGATGCATCCATTACCAGCCACGATTCTGGGGACAGCAGGGGAGTGTAAAGCAATGAACAAATTCAAGACATGCAAACCTCTCCAGAACCGAGTGCCAACTTGCAATTCCCAAGCTTATACTCCAAGCTTATGTTGCCGCTTATGCTTTTCCAGAAGTTTTTTGGTAGGCAGCATCACATTACACTTCCCACACCTATACTTTTTTGTGTGTGTTTTTACATGCTTTTGGAAAGCACGTTTATCTACCGTAGAAAAACTGCACCTTCTGCAGTGCAACTTTAAATGAGTCAGTAAGTGGCGCTTCAGGTGGCTAGATGTGCGGAAAGCAACAGCGCACTGACTGCACTTGAATGGCTTCTCCCCTGTATGAATCCTCAAGTGTGGCTTCAAGTTTCCATTGTGGGCTGTGGAATAGCCACACTCTTCACACCTGTATGTTTTGACAGGCAGTTGCTTTTGTTCGTTGAGACAGACAGCAGATGAGCCTTCCTCACAAGAGTGTGAAGCCAGATGCTGTTTCAAGGACAGCCATTTGTTTGTTGAATAGTCACATTTCCTGCACTTAAGATGCTCCACGTTAAAATGCGTGATTCTGTGTCTTTTCAGGTGACTGGAAGTACGAAACTTCTTCTGACAAACATTGCAGCCGTAAGGTTTCTCACCTGTGTGAGTTCTTACATGCAGTTCAAGGTTGCTTAAAATGCAAGTAGCATACTCACACTCTGCACATTGATAGAATCGTTGCTGACTTTGTGCTAACAGATTGTTTTCTTTGCCCCTCTGCACATCTGGCTGTACTCCACAGACTTCTGAACCAAGCAAGGAATGGACACTGTTTGAACCTTCCAAGGAACCAAAATCTCTTTCTGGACACATGCCTAGGTGCATTTCATGATGCAATTCAAGATTCTCTAAACGGTTATCTAGATACAGGCAATGACCAAACTCATATCCATTCTTTACATGAACAAGGCTGTGTTTCTGCAAATGGTTTGATGTTTTAAATGTCTTATTGCATTCTTTACACACAAACGGTCTTTCATCTGTATGTATTTTCAGGTGCAGCTTAAAGTCACTATGAACAGCAGTAGCATAACTGCAGTGTTGGCACTTGTATGTTTTGAATGTAGACAAATTGCAAGGCCATGTATCCTTTAAGTTTTCCACAAATTTATGATATGCATCATCATCTTGAACTTGTGAATGAGAAGCCTTAACACTGAAGAGAGGTTCCTCTTTGCAAACGATAGCGTCCATTTTGTATGAATTCAGAGGAACTTCTGATCTATTCCCAATAATAGGTAAGCTGTTGCTTCCATGGCTGTTTTCAGGGAATGTCTTTCCAGGGCATATTTTCTTATTGTCCTGCACATCACCTGCCTGCTCAAAGTCTACTTTTGAAGCCAGCATTCTCCCACTGAGAGAATCATTTTCTTTAACAGAAAGAGACAGAGAAACATGATCCTCGGAATCATTGTCAACTTTGCATATTTTGCTTTTATGACATTCATTGCTCTGATTCGTATAACCACTAGCAGTAGCCTGTTCATGAAATTTCTTATGAAAGCTGAGATGTCCTCTAGTGTAAAACACTGAGTTACACTCATCACATGCGTAATTCTTTAAAGGTCTTCGAGTTCTCTTTCTTCCACTTACAAAGTCAAGTTGCTGCCCTTGGCATGTTTCTTTGGCTGCATGCAATCTTCTGTGTCTCTTTAACCCAGTCATGCTTGTGAATGCTGACTGGCAGAACTCACAGGAATATGGTTTAGCCCTCGTGTGTACGTAGCTATGCCTTACCATGCTTGCAAAATATAATGAAAAAAAGGTGCAAAACCTGCACTGGTACAGCTTATACCCTGCATGCCAGTACATGTGATTTAACAGAAAAGATAAGTTAATGCAGGAGTAATCACACTGAGGACACTGGTAAGGTGGTCTCTCTTTATGTCCCCTCATGTGGTGAATAAAAATCCTAGGATTTGATGAAGCAAAGAAACAAATTTTGCAGGAAAAACTAACTGGCACACCCAGCGGTGTAAAGTCCCTTTCAATTTTGATGAAAAATTTCTCATATTTACTTTCTTTTTTCTTGGTCTCAGATTTTCTTTCTTCAGATCTTCCCTGCCTAATTTTTCTCGCATTTATTCTATTTTTTCTTGCCTTTTGCAACCTAGTCATTTTCTTATGAAATTTAAGGTGATTCTTAAGGTTGACAGAAAAGAAAAACGTTCTTTTACAAAAGCAGCATTTATGTATTTTCTTATCTTTATGAGCTGAATAAACGTGTTTCTTTAGACGTGCACTGCATTTATACACAGAACTACAAAATCTGCACTTCAATCTGTCATGCTTATTTATAGAACAAGATGCTTCAGAAAGAGGTTTGATGGTCACACTATGACTTAGCCATGCTAAACCTTCTTGCTGACTTTGCAATTCTTTTGGGCTTGCAGGAGGAGAAACATCTTTTTGTTGCCGGTATCTTTTTTTAGGAAATGGCGTTAATGTCTTATAAGTATGCCCTCCAGTAGTATTTAATTCAGCAGAAGTGGAAGCATTCATCTCTGGTTTC